GGCCACCCCAAAAACGTTTTCGAAAGTCATCATTCAGCCAATCACAGTGTGATATTTGGTTGTAGGTCACACCTTGAACAGTGTTGCGCATCATGGTGGATTTTTGGCGGCCTTCATACTTACTGGATTTTTAACGAAAAATTTCGGGAAGAAAATTAAGCGCTACTAAAAATAAACCTTTAATGGAGAAATTTTCTACTTCTTACAGTTGAAACCCAGCTAAAACCCGGAACGGTGAAATGTTGCATTTCATTCACAATTCGCTTTCATTGTTTGTCTTCATCGGAACCGTTGAAGGATCACTAAATTCATCTGGAAAAACAACGCTGAACAACACGACAAACCAAGCGTGAGTTAAAATATTCTATACCACATCAAAATCCTTGTTTCTCTGGCATTTCCCGCCAACACGTTTAGACCGATTTTAGAGCCAGGAACGTGAAATACCTGCTTTGAGGGTTCAAAACAAATATTTAGTACTCTGGTAGGTTTGTGTCAATAAAAGCGTAATTTTATTTTACTTTTACTTTGTACCGAGTGTTTCCAGTATTTGTGAACGGTAACGCTTTATGGAAATGAATGGAAATCCACAAATACAAAACCTTCGGGAAATACAACGTACAAAACAGAAACCTAAGTCAGTCGTAACCTTAACGTGAGAAGTAGTGGCCTCGGAAAAGGCGCGTTGCACTATAAAATGAATCGAGATAATTATTTTACGTCACTTTGCTTGTTTAAATTTTTTGTGGTAAGACGTCGATGCAGAATAGTTATCTTCAGTGCTCTATTTATAAAATTCATACAGGTTTCCTCGCGAAAGCTGTAACCACCCTAATTGCCGTAGTTTAAATAACCATTTTCTCATTTTCTTATTTCGTAATAATTAATGTTGTGTTCAAAACAGCGTGATAGTCCTCCTACTTATGTTTCTTCTTTTTTTGTTTATTTTTGACGAACTCTTCGTGTTATTGAGGTTTTAAATAATTAGTATTTTTCAATTCAAGTTTGTAAGTCCAGCGAATAAAAGACAAACTCTGACTTGGTTGTACACGCATATCACTCAAACCATCATCTCTCGGGCTACAAATGACCAAGGCACACATGCCATCGTCGATTCAACTAATTACTCATTCATGCAGCCGTTGTACACCTGTTTGTAGTTTGGCTAGATCCATCCTTGCAAAACTCTCCATTTTTCATAGCTGAATACATGTTCTAATTGATACTATAAACTAAGCTCATGGGGAACAGTTGGAGCGATCCTGTTTTGTTTCCATGAGCTTAGTTTAAATTGTACTCCACCCACCTCTAACGGCACAGTCTGATGATCGCTTAGTGCGTGAAACTCGAGTAACTGTCCGTATGGTCTCTATCTTTAATTATAGTATTCCGCTCTGCATGTATTTGCATCGAGTACTTCTACGATTGTGTGAGGCCTTTTACGTTTTTCTTTATTTTTCTTTATTATTCTAATTGATAGATTTGTGCAGTTATCGGGCCTCGGATGAAAAATATCATCTGCATGTATGGCTTCAAACTCAAGGGTGGCCTTGCTAAGAATATCAAGCTTGGTTTTGACAGCAGGGCCCGGCCGAGTATAGTCCGTAAAGCAGTTTAGCCTAAAGCTGACCTGTGGTTCGGTACGGTCCCGAGAATTATTAAGACTATACGATTGAAAAGGAGCTATCCTAAACAAATATTGGTCGGGCCATTATGAATTCTCAGTTATGGATTAGCTGCTAGAGTTATCGGCCGGGAGCCGCTAACCTACGGAATTGCATTTCGCCGGTGGAGCCCCTGATCTATGCTACAGGCAGGGCTGAAAAGGGTTGGGCTACTTTTAAGAGCCCTGCTTCAGGCGAGGCCGCGAGGGAATTTTTGCTTAAAACAAAACACGCGCGCGCTCGACATGCCGCCAGCTTTGCAGGGTCGGCAGGTTTAATGGGGAGCCGTAAATTTAAGATCCGATGAAATCCTCCCTCATCTTCCTCAAAATTACCAACTGGGCATGTTTAGCTTGTGTTTACAGCAGATGACAGTTGAATTATTTGTTATGTGCCTTATATTGCTCTCACTCTCCCGTAAGCCATTGAGCGCGCAAAAGAGCAAAACTTCCAACTTGTCTAGGGTAGGATTGGTATGGCTCACCGTTTATCTTATTAACCTATGGAATAAAGTATTCAGTAAAAGGAAAATTATTATTTTTGTGAACAATGAAAACAAAAACACCTGTCTCCAAAAAATAGCAAATTATTGGTTGTTTTCGTATCTAAGCAACAAAGAACAACGAAATTTCCTGCTGCGTTTCTGCTCACGCGGAACACGCAGCCTACCCGTGTTGGGAATGTTGTTTTATCAAGCAACGACCAACTACAGGATCAGGCAAACCTGAGTGTGAGTTTTGACAGGAGTTTCTGTCTTCTTTTTATTCACATCCAGCGTATTTCTCAGAGGAAACATTCATTTTATTCCGTGTAATCCTTTTTGGTGGAAAGGTTTAAGATTATGGCTCTCCGATGTTTATTATTAAGCTTCATCTTGTCTTCAGTGCTAATTGTAAGCGTGAATTCTTCAGACAATCTTCATGTCCCTGTTGGTCATTTGAGGCCTTTAGGTTCTCACAGACCACCAGAAACCAACTTAGTGGACGATTTACAGGAAATGCCATCTCCTCAAGAGTTTTGGACTAAATATGTTCGACCCTCTAAGGCTGTCGTGCTCCGAGGAGCCGCAAAATACGGAAGAGCATTTACTCAATGGACTGATGAATATTTGAAAGAAAAGTTTGCAGATTTGGAGGTTCGCCTAGAAGCAAAGAAAGAAAAGAGCTCCAAAGTACCGATTGGTGCGAAAGGAGTTGGAAGAGATACGATTGGTAAGTGCTATAGAGGTTTTTCTCTTCTTCTTCTCTCATTGGTTTCGACACGTCATTTTAACATGAATAGAATAAAACGTTCTCATTTTTTTTAAAATACGATTACGAATATATTACTGGCGAGCCTTAGGGTACAAAATACAGGTGGGTGAGAAAAATAAAGGTTGTGAAAACTAGTTCGAATAAAATGTTAACCTACACAGGGTATTCATTTTATCATATACCTGTAGATTATTTACTACATTTACAAAATGTAAGCTTTCTTATAAAGTTTCAGTTGTAGGCGATATTCACAAAATGGGGCTTACATTAAGCTTATATTTTGCTTATTTATACCTAGATGAAGTTTACATGGATAACGTTGTTTGTACATGTAATAGGACTACATGCTGTCCAATTTGGAAATAATAGGATGAAAAAAATTCCGAGGACAGCCAAAATTGGACGAGGCCGAAGGCCAAGTCCAATTTGGCTGTCAGAGGAATTTTTTTAATCTAATAATTATTTCCAAATTGGACAAGCATGTAGTCCTGGTACTTATTAATTTATATAGCTCATGAGGTAATACAGCTTTGCAAGGAAAACTACAGTAACTGTCTCTGAAGAAAGACAGACCGGGCCCTCGATCTTCCGAAACTTGGGAAAGCTTCGAAAATATCTGGTGATCTTCAGAGATTGCCGGGGATTGTCACAAGTCTGCAAGACAAAGACAAACAAAGACAAACAAGACAAACTGTCCTATTTTTACCCAAATTGGACAGTTTCTGCGTTTTTACTCAGTCCTTATCAAAAACTGTCCAAATTAAATCCCAAATTGGACAGTTTTCAGAAATTAAAGGATAACAGCTGTGCTGACGATATTGGATTAACTGACTGCTATATAATTAGTTTTTTAAATGGTCATTTTTGCACTGTTATAGTATATGATTTGGAATAGCGTGTTTTGCATAGGGCTTCATATAAATAAAATCCATGATGATTAGCGAGATCTCTACAGGCCTGCAAATGATCCCAGCCCGCAAATGATCCCCGGACCGCAAATGATCCCCAAATTGGACCACAAATGATCCCCATATTGGACCGTAAATGAACCCAGGACCACCGCAAAAAGTTAGGAATGGCGTGGACTCCATGAAAAGCCTATGGATGGTTACATATTTTCTCAATTATTCTAGGAGAAGAAAAGACAGGCACCTCAGACATACTGCACAAAATACCAAATTGACATGTGTGGACTGTATAAATTTTTCTATTAGGAAACACACTGCAAAAAAAACCAGGAATCTTTGAAGATGCCTCTGCCATCTAATTAACCACCTAGAACTTTTCCCTGTCTGCTTCTTATACGTGCGTCCTGGATAGACATGGGGTCCCACGAAAGTGCACAAGATTCCTCTGTGTAAGTTTCCGCAGTGTTCTTTAGATAGATTTATTTGCATGCCGTACAAGTAGAGCTGTTGCTTTTGCTCGTGCAAAAAATTTTACTGTCAATAATCTCCTCTGTGCCAAAAGCTATGCAAAAATGTAGTCAATCCACATGGAAATTCTCCATTGTCTCCAAATTTAAGCAGGTAGTGAACATCCTGTGTTATCATACATCTCAGGCCGGGATCATTTGTGGGCCTGTGTAGATCCTTGAAATTGGCATGCAAATGAGAACAATTCATGTTAATTCATTTGTAGTTTTTCTCCTTTGATGTCTTTTAATTTTATCAGCAATCTAAATCTATTGAGAAGTCCTTCAGTGCTTGAGACCACACACAGAAGTAGTATTTTGGCTTCGTTCAAAGCATTGTGAAGATTGGTTAACTGGCAACTTGCTGGTATTTTGCTCATAAAAACATTTTGAGCAAGTTACCAGTTTACCAGTCTTCACAAATTTATCTTTTGAAAGCAAATATGAAGTTTTCAGGTTTTTAAGAAAATCAGTATAATTTTCCATGGAAATGATAAACAGAAAAACTTGAAAATTATCAGTAAATGTTGAATTTTGTGTGAAGCACATTTATTTGCTACTTAGTGTTTGCGCTAAGTGACAACTGACGAGGAGTGGCTGGGGATGCAAAAAGTGGAGGCACCAGGGTCTGGTCCCAGTATCGAGTTGGGAACCAGAGAGAACAATAATTGCTGTATGTTTGATTCTGAATAAATCGTAACCATAGTAAGACAGATATTTTGCATTATAAACAGTGTAAATTGGAACATTTGGCTCGATCCATTTTCACAACAAAGGCCATTAATAAAAGGAGTTATTCCAAGGAAGTTGCATTTTGAAAAAATTAGCCTAAAGTACCTGTTAAGTTTTAAATTATGCCATTAATTATCTGTCCTAAATTATCATAATTATAATAATTCTTGTGCCTCTGTTAAAATATTAGTCTATTTCCTCTCAAGTCTTTATCATTTTTAGTGAATTATCATATTTTGAGGCTTATTTTGATTTGAAGGTAAATCTACACATTACAAATTATAGTTAATCAATATAAGTCTTTGAATTGTTTAATTTCTTTCACCTTTTACAAACACTTTTTTCTCTCTTGTAAAGGAAACTTCATCAGCCATTACCATGAAGAAAACAACAATCTCTATGTAGTCTCAGAGTTGCCCACCCCAATGTGGCCAGATGTGACAGTCATTCCCCCCCTGACATGTGGCCTTCTGAAGGACAGACTGGTTGAAGTAGACTTATGGATGAGCGGTGGAGGTACTAAAAGTATACTTCACAAAGATGCTTACAATGCGATCAACTGTTTGTACAATGGCACAAAGGAATGGAAAATGATTGAGTACAAGTATGAAGATAAAATATACAAGGCATGGGAGCCTCCACAAATGGTCGGGGGATTCTCACGCATTAACGTGCTAAAAGTTGACTTGTTGAAGTATCCCAAGGTTGCTGAAGTCCCATGGTCATTTGTCACAGTAAATGCTGGAGACTGTCTCTTCTTGCCCAAAAGTAAGTCCTTGAAATAGATTACATGCCTTAGAAATATCTAGGGTTTTTATTATTTCTTTTTAACAATGTGATAATACA